AGCCACACTATCTCCACAGGTGGCATATGAGGGGCACACACTTGTAGACCGAGTCGAGATTGATCCCCGGTACTAGTTCTTCGATTCCGTGCTAATGCATTTCCTACCAGTTATGGCACTCAGAAGAGAGAGGGGATATTCCAGGCTTTATACTACATTGATCAGGGTTACTGGTTCTCCATTCCTGCACTCATCTGGGAGCTTATCCATAAGTTCTGGAAAAACTTGCATTTTTTACCTACCACTAGAGTAGAGACCTGGCCTCTACCTTTTGGCCATTTTATCGCACAGCTGCTTATGGACCAGGGATACCAGTTTGACCCTAAGGAGATCCCAGAGCCCGATGCCGACAGGGCGAAGAGAGCTTATGACCTGACTCGATGGACCAAGACCTTCAATTCTTATCGCAAGAACAGAGCAAATAGAGATTTCATGAGACTTCAGGCATAGCAACAGAGAGAGGCAGCACAGGCAGCCGCAACAGGTGATGCTCCAGAGGATGACACATCAGATAGATTTCCTCCCAGACAGAGACGTCGCATTACCACTTCAGGTTCTACCTCCCAGCCAAACGTACCTTCTGCATCTCAGCAGACTGGCCCTTCACATGCCCCTCCTACTGAGCTGACGGCCCATACCAGCACTGACTCCAACTATAGATCAGAGGTAGCTTAGCTTCACACAAATTTCATATCTTTCAGAGCTGATATGACTGGGCGGCATGAGGATGTCATGAGGCAGCATGATGACTTGGTGAGGAGACATGACGATCTAGTAGGGAGACATGATGACTTAGTTCGGAGATCTGATGCGCTGCGAGATGAGGTAACTGAGGTGAGACATGAGCTTAGAGCTTTGCGGACAAACCTTACCACTTCGCTCACTCGTTAAAGTACTGAGATGTCTGCCATGCTACAGCATATTGCTGACATGCTTACTCCAATCCACCGTCTGATGCCATCATTCTCTCTCCCTTACTCATTACTATCTTATATCTGCACTGCTTTGACTGTAAAATTTCTGCACTATTTGGATACTTGCCCTGATTTTGGATATTGTTTCATATTGTTATTTTAGATATTATTTGGATATTTTGGATATTTTGTTGGATACTATTACTTCCATTACACTGGTACATTGATTTGTGGATTTTTGATCTTGCATATCTATTTGATCTTGGATTTTTGGATCTTTGATATCAATTTTGGATGTTATGAGCTTTACATTGCTATATGCCATGATTTTTGCCCAGTTCTTAGTTTCACTTCTCATTTTATCATTGATGCAAATGATTTGACAAGTTGTTAGTGTGATTATTTTCAGACAGGTTTTCGGAATCTAAGTTTGGGGGTGCGCCTTCCAAAGCTAAGCTTCCGTTGTCGGGTCCCTTTTACTTCACCCATTTGGTATACTCTTTCCATTATCTGTTACTCTTTGCACATTGAGGATAATGCACAGATTAAGTTTGGGGGTGTATTAGCATATCTCACATGTCGCACTGGATTTCTATGCATAATGTGGTATGATTTGAGAATATTAGGCTATGATTTTGATCTTTCGAGGACCATGATACTTAGAATTTAAAAATTTCTTGACTTGAGAGTCCAATACTCTTTGTATGCCTTGTGGATACCATTTAGGAGTAATTTTTTTGAAAGATTGATATCATGCTTGCATTTGTGATCCACATCATCCTGACTTTGTGATTGTTTTGAGATTCACTCTATGATTATACACTAGCACAGACGCACACTAGCATTCATTTGTGGGGTACATGCTTTGTTGATTATTGAATTGGTTATATCCCAATTGAGCTAGTAGTGCATTGAAAGCTTTCATTTTGACAAAAGTGGATAACAATCCCTTTTCATTGAGTAACCGGGATTCTAGCCTCATCAAACATTGAATTTCTCGCGCCGAAAGGTGGAGGGCCCAAACTTTAGGTTAATAATTGAATGTCTAAAAAAAAAAAAAAGCTGCAAAAGTAATAAAAAAGTGAGGACTTCTCCCAAAATGTGAGAAGTAAGAAATGATTGATGGAGGTTGTTTTAATTTGTAACCTAGTTGATTTGAGCTTGTAAGTTCTTAGGGATGTTTAAACACCTAATGCCCTAAAGTCGTCTGGTTTGGGAGTCATTGACCTAACACTCGACCTCATGGATCACTAGAAAGCTTAATAGATCAATACATTGTACTATGCTTCCATCTTTGATCCTTAGGTTAGTAAAAAAAAAATCGAGTGAAAAGAATAAACGCACCTAGATGAATAAAGCTTTAATAAAAGGTCTACACTTTATTTTGATGATCAGGACTAGATTTGTGTGCTAGTTTGAGGGTAAGGATGTGATTATTTCTTTAGTTGGCTTAGATAGCAACATATTTGATGTCGGTTCATTCAAAAAGGATTCTAGTGTTGTTTTGATTTGCATGATCATTTTCTTGATGTGCGGAGGACCATATTGCTTGCTTGATGTTGAGATTTTGGGAGATAGCTTGGAAAGGGTTAAAAAATTGCATACTTGAGGTAGTTTTCTCCCAATGTTTGTTTTATATATTGGTACTTCTCTTGTGAGAAAGAGCTCCATGTTTGTGGGTATCATTTCTGGAAACCCTTACGAGACTTCACTCATCCACTAGGGGTAACCTAGGGGTTTAAAAGGCTTGTTGCATATGCTAAATGCAATCATGTTCCCTACGAAAATGGTGTTATCCTATTATTGCTTTCTAGTTTATAGATGTATAGTTGTTTTTTCCTTTCTTTTCCTTGTAGTTCTTTGCTAGGGACTAACAATATATAAGTTTGGGGGTGTGATGAGTGCTCAAATGTGACGCATTTTAGCACCTAAGTTAGGGTATTTTAGTCCAATCATCTATCTTATTTTCCTGTCTTAGATACTTCTTTGTGTTATTGCTTATTTCAAGTGAATAAAGTGCAAACAGACTAACAAGAGCCATTTAGACCACTTTTGGAGCTAAGGAGCAAAGTTGGAAAGAAACTAAGAAAAACACCAAGGGAACTTCGATCGATTGAAGGGAAGTTCCGATTGATCGAAGTGATCTTTAATCAATCGAAATCAAGGCAGTACCAGCTCAGCCAATGGGATAAAGCCTGGAAGATATTTTGTGCCACGTCAGCTTCTATCGATCGAAGCCAAGTGTTTGATCGATCGAAAATGCTGCTGGCAGTGAGCTGTTTAATTCCCGAGCGCGTCGTTTTCTACCTAATTTGTGTAACTGCGAAATTCCTCCAATCATAGTCTGTAATTCTAACTTGGTCCTTACTCAAAGGAGTATGTAATTGATTTATTGAGCATTATTGTAGAAACATCATAGAGAACTCATTACAAAAAAAAAAATAGAAAAAATATCTTTTGCTCTCTAGAAGTAGGGTTTTGGGGGAAGAAATCAAGGATGCTTCCTAGACCTAGTCTTTTGTATATTTTTGGGGATTTAATTATAACAAATGTTTTAATCTTGGATTAATATATATAGCTTGTGGTTTCTACTTGATGTGTATGGATCTTAATGCTTCCAATTGATTATCTATCTCTAATCATATGTCTATGTATGCTAGAATGGATGATTCATGTGTTTTGCTCTAATTTTAATGGAATTAATGCATGTTTATGTATATTGATGATGTTAATCTAGTGATGATCAAAACATAGTGCTGTGAACACTTTTGTGATTTATTTGATGGTTCACACTTGTTTCTTGATAGATTGTGCCGCACCCTTAGTTTAATTAGTTTAATTTTATGTCTCTAGCCTAGATATAGTGTAGTTGCTTTAAATTCTTAGATAGGTGGAAAATCTATTCATGTTTCTTAATGTTCCATATTTATGAATGCAAAAAGTGTATGTCTCTAGATATTTTTGGGTGTGCATTAATTATGGTTTTATTGAATGGAAATTGGTTTCGTTTGATAGGTTGTGCTTTTCATTAAATTTGGCTAGACAATCTATACTTATTTGTCATCCATGCTTAGTTTCAATTGATGTCACACACGCACACACAAGTTACAATTTAATTTCCCCATTAATATACAATTGCTAGTGTTTAGTGAAGTCAAGCTTAGTGGTGAACTCTAAAGCCCCAAGTCCTCTTTCCTATATATTTTCCCTACTTCTTACTTGCATTAATCTTTGATTGCATTGTAGTTTAATTAAACAACCACCAATCATCTTTGATCACTCGACCTACTAATCCAACATTAATTTTCAACACAAATACACCTCCGATCCCTTCGGACGATCCCTACTCACTCTAGCTATATTTTTAGTTGGTAGTGGTAGTGGCATTTTACAAATTTAAACTTGGCCACATTCTATCATAATTTGGTGCATTGGCACGACACACACCATTCACACTAAGCATTATTAACATTGTCCAGTCTGGAACCACACTAAGGGATATGTCCACCATCTTGGCACAGATAAACCTGACACTGCACAAAGTGAACAGGCATCTACCCAAACTCACGGGTAGCCCCTGTTACCAGAACAACAGTGTGCAAGCATCTCCTGTCACACCCAATCTCGCAGGTATCCCCCGCTACCAAACTCACAGGTATCCCCCGTTTCGACACAACACAACTCACAGGTAACCCCATTACAACACAACACGATGCACTAGCAACAATATGATAATGCAACATAACTCACAAATAACCATGCAACACGACACACAAACAACCGTGCAACATGACTTACAGGTGTCCCACATTACAACACGACATGACTCACAGGTATTCCCCGTTACGACACAACACGACTCACAAACAATTGTGCAACACAACTTATAGGTGTCTCCCGTTACAACACGACATGACTCACAAGCATCCCCCATTACGACACAACACGACTCACAGGTAGCCCCCATTACAAAACTCACAGGTGTCCCCCGTTACAGAACTCACAGGTTACCCCCGTTACATCACGGTCACAGGTCGCCCCCCCCCCCCCCCCCCCCGTTACATCATAATCAATCACTGTAATGTCTCATCTCCTCTGTGGACAATCCCTCTTCATGTGGCCCGGCTGACCACACCAAAAATAAACTCTGGAACTAGGTCTATCAAGAGGACACTTCGCCTTGCGTTGTCCCAGCTGTCTACAGTGATAACACACCAAAATAGTCCTAGAGGACCCTGAAGAAGCACCAACAATAGGAGTAGTACCTACCGTTCGTTGCTCCTGGGAAGACAATGAAGCACCTATGTGCCTCTTCCTGTCTTGGCTCCCGGAAGAAGTACCCACACTCGTACCTCGTTCCTGAAAACCCATAATACCACTCATTTCCTGCCAATCCTTGGCTTCTGCTTCTGCCATTAGTGCTCTCGTAATCGCCTCAGAATAATTCTTTAATCCCAAAAGTGTCACCCCTGGCCTAATAAAAGGATTTAGGCCATACACAAACCGCCATGTCTTATCTTCTTCGTTCCCTAACACATCTGTAGCGAAACGTGAAAGAGAAGTGAAGTTATTCTCATACTCTATCACTGACATATCACCTTGTTCAAGTCTGTCAAACTGCATCCTCAATTCCCGTCTCTTAGTTTGCGGGAAATACTTATCAAATAAAAGACTCTTGAATGCGTCCCAACTCATACTGTCAATGTCATGTGCGCTAGTCATGGTCTTCCACCATACTACCGCGTTGCTAACAAATTTATACGTGGCTAAGGTGATCTTCAACCGATTATCGGGCACAATTATTGCCCTGAAATGCTTTTCAACTTTATCTAACCAATTGTTCGCTACCAACGGATCTGGACCTCCCTCAAATGCTACTTTTATGAGTTTGTTAAACTGAAGCAGGTACCTAAGGTTCCACTCTATCTCCATCTCCGGTGGCTGAATAGCCGATCATGGTAACACTTGACGAGCTGTGGTACTCGCTAAATTCTGAAAGGCTGAGGCTGCAGCCTTTGCTAATAAGACATCGTCCTCCGATACTTGTGGATCATCATCCACCTCTCTAACTCGGCCTTGTCCCATTGAAACCCTGTCTGGTTGGGATAGCAGTTCACTTGTTCGCTCCCCAACTTCATTCGGATCCATCACTTCACGTAGTCTTCAAACACGGTTCTACAAAGGCAACTAAACGATCAAAACAAAGATACATAAAGTAGTTTAATCCACGAGCTATGGTGCTCACACTATTCGTTCGATAAGAATTAAAACATTCAGAAATTTAGAAGTGATCAAGCCCCTCACTTACGTGGGTCAAAACCTTCTACAACTCAACATACAACACTGTCTTGAACACTCAAACCCGTCAACAATGAAACCAACAAGTCATGCATACATCCACTCCTTAGTGGATGAACGACTACAACATAAATCTAAGCGTGCAACTATGTTCCAAAATAAGATCATATCTAGCATGCTCATTTAAAATTTGTTACATCCTATACTATATGCTTTACATAACTCATGCTCAATTACTTGTAATAAGAACTTGTATAACATGTTTTTTTAATAATAATAAACACTTAACAATTAAATACGTAGTTAACTAAGCATGTTTTCATCAATGGTTAACAATTTAGCAATTAAGCACGTACAAATCAAGCATATATTTGGCAACTTAATCATATAATCAGCTACACATAAACATTTAGCAAATAAGCATGCTTTCACATTTACTAAACATGTTAACATCTAAGTACATAAGCACACAACGATAAGTCATGCTTTCGAACTTAACAAACAACAATAACATAGGCATGCAATCACGTCAAACTCAATTCTAACTCCTCTAGGTCAACCCTATCCGTCGTCCTTAGGTTTTCGAACCTAAAGCTCTGGTACCAATTTTATAACGACCCAAACCCGTGGGTCCGGACCATTAACTAGGTCCCTACCTGAACCCGAGGTCAACAAGGGTACAATGGTCATTTCCTATGCTCACCGGTAGTCCTCAATTCATTCAAAGGTCCAAGGTATACTCCAAATTATAGCTCAGGTGGAAAAGTCAAGGTATAGGTCAATGGGAAGGTCAATCGGGTCAATGAGAAAGTTAGCCAGCTGAAGACCCTTCATCAGCCGGTTGAAAATGCATGGTCGGCCGGCTGAAAGTGGAGTTCAGTCGGCTAATCAACAGGGTCGGCCGACTAAAACGATCACCAAAATTGTCAACTCTCGGGACTTCTCTAAAATGTACTATCGGCTGGCTGGTGATGAAGTGTTAGCCAACTGATGATGGAGTTTCGGTCTACCGATGGTGAGGTTCGGTCGGCCGAAACAAGGCTTCTTAACTACACAACTCACTGGAATAGTCTCGAGATGTTTGTCAGTCGGCTGACATGCCTTGTCAGCCGGCTGGTTAGCCCTGGAATGCTGCTAAGTGCAGCTTGAAGGTCCAAAAACTCTAGGCTCTTTGTGAGCCAACCCAATGAACAACTTGTCCCAACCTCACAACAACAATAATATATATCACGAGTCACATCATCAATGAAATTAATCAAATAACCGATAGTCATCTCACCCATCCCAATATACCAACATGATTATTACATGCTTCCATGGACATACACAAAATACATCAAATTGATATCTAAAATACGGATACATAGTCAAATTATAACAATCAAATGATTACATAGAATTGTTTAAGCTTCCCAAAATATACATCTTAATACAACATAATACAATGAAAAATTTTTCCAACCCCGTCCATGTTCGTGGAAGATCAACACCCACCAGCTCAACCCTGTGACCTGAAAATTTGTAGAGGAGTGAGCACAATGGCTCAGTAGAGATTGCCTAAGTGGCACCTCCTCAAACAAAGTAAGTAATCCAATGTTTTACACATAATGAATAGGTACAAGGAGTGGGGTCATGTAAGGGATATATTTCACATAGGACACTTAAAAGTTTCAAGCAATCCTCCTCACTATAACATACAGTGCAATGCATAAAATGCCAATGTAACCGTGCATCACACCATACCCTTGATTGTTCAATCATCCCATCCATACCATCATGTATTTACACTTCACTTCCCCACTATCACACATCTACACATCTCATCTACACCCTCGCCTATTTTATACTATCAATACCCTCGTGCCATGCATATGGAGTATTTTAATTCCAATCATTCAATTATCAACATGCCTTTATTATGCAATAAACAATTTCATGGCTACAATAAACAACTTTAGCATGCTTCGGCACACACCAAAACAACCATACTAGGAGTAACATATACAATCCACCACGTAGTCACTTTTTAGCATATCATTAGAAATTCATATACAAAATAAACATTTAATTCCATTAAACCCATCAATTAGGCAAAACTCAAGCATGAACCAAAACCCTAGAATTTTCATTATTCAATTAACATCAAATTGACATGCCAAATGAGGGGAAAAACATTTAATTAGCTACTAAATCCAAGGAAATTGACAATTAGATAACTCTACCTCAACTTGATGTCGAAAACCCCAAAGTTTCCAAATCCAAGCCCAAATTTTTGAAATTCCAAGGTACACCAAAAGGGGTTTGGCTCAGATCAAATCGTAGATCTAGTCGAGCTCTTCAATTTGCCACAGACGGCATCAAAAATCTCTCAAGGGTTTGAGAGAAATCAAGATTTATAGCTTGTGGGATAAAAAGAAAAAGAAAGGAGAATGAGGGAGAGAGATTTTGTAGAGAGAGAGGAAAGAGGAAAAGTGAGGCTAAAATTGGCCTCTTGCCCTCTTTTAATAAAAATTAGTGGGTCCCACCCTTTTTTTATAAAAAAAATATATATATTTTCCCCATTTTATCCTCTACCACAAATATATATATATATATATATGCACATATTAAATCACAACCACATAAAACACATTAAACAAAATAAATGAAATGCAGTTGGGCCCAAACAAAACCCCTGTATGCGACAATTTCGGTAACGGGTCCTACACGAGATTTTCCGATCCAATAAACAGAAAAATGCCGAAATGACAACCCTTACTTTTCCAAGAGTCCTGAACTCAATGGAATGCCCCAACCAACACTTAGACACAACCGGCACATCCCACGGTGTCTGGCACGTAAAATTGTAAAAGACAAAAATGCCCTCACAAAATCGAAAAATTCCAGAAATGGAAAAAAAAAATATCAGAAACATCACAGAAACCATTGTCCTTGTTTTTTAAAGTGAAAAAAACTCAAAATTTGAACAAAATCTCTTACTCAATTTAAGCCATTTGAAAGAGAGAAAAATTTTACGCTGGACAAATTTAATGTTTTTACATACTTGTGTTTGAAAAAATGAATCAATCATTGCTAAGACCAAATCGAAATCGAAATCGAAATCCAATCTGAAGAAGAGTGGTGGAGGACACAATAGGAATATCAGGTTTGGAATAATTGACAACTAAGGAAAATGAAAGATGCAGATAAAGATACACAGATGGGAGCAAAGAGAGGAAAAAATTAGATCTATTTGGTTTAACCCTAAAAAATAGGTATAACCCTTGTTTTGTATTTTTTTAAGCTTAAAAGAGGTGTCAACCTCTTATTGGGACATATTAGTGTACATGACACAATTTGTCATGATGGAGGAGGACCCAAGTATTGTCCTTAAATAGAATAACAATATTTTCATATATTAGAGCAACCGGTCACATGAATACACAAGCAATAAATTTTTATTTTTTTTCAAACATAATTACAGAAATTAAATTTGAAATTTCAAATCCAAGCTTAAGGCATCTACTGCTCCTTCAAGATAGTTGAAACCACTATGAGGTTCAATCAATAAAATTAAATGGCAAAACTATTTATGAGAGTCAACTAAGACAATAAAACAACCCGCGACTTGAAATTTTGTATACACATAAATACACATATGCAATAAATAATTAAAAATATTAAATTTCAAATTTCAAATCCAAGCTTGAGGTGTCTAACCAAAGTCACATAATCTTTCTCGACAGATGTCGCTCTTATGCTTCGAGTGTGTTCCGTTCTCACGTTTCGTACAAGCTCTTGTTTAAATTCTCACTGCATGTGACTTAATTTTGCCACTCTTTCACTCCCGCTTTATGTGACTTAATGTCTAACTACTCCTTTAATACCGTTGAAACCACTCCAATGTTCAATCAATAAAATTAAACAAAACTATTTACTAAGACGAATTTAACAATATGTACGATCACGGGAGTCAGCTTAGGCTCCTGGGGGGGTTGGGGTTGTTTTCCAAGCTTGCCCAATTTATATAGGGATATAATTTACAAAATATTTCTTTGTGCCCTGTTGAAATTTATTTTTCTTCCCAAAACACCACGAGACTTGAAATTTTTTATACACATAAATACACATATGCAATAAATAATTTTTTTAAAAAACATAATTAAAGAAATTAAATTTGGAATATCAAATCCAAGATTCAAGATAATTGAAACCGCTCCAAGGTTCAATTAATAAAATTAAATGGCAAAACTATTTATGAAAGTCAACTAAAATAAATGTAACAATATGTATGATTAGGGATGGAGCCAGATTAGGCCGAGGCCCAAGCTCACCCACTAAATTTTACATAAGGCTATAATTTAAAAAACATATTACTTTGTGCCTTGTTGAAATTTATTTTTCTCTCCAAAACACCACCGGACTTGAAACTCTTTATTCAAATGAGTATATAATTTGTAAATTATTATTGTGTTTCCCTGAAATTAAATCCTAACTCCGTTCTGATGTATGACCACCTTGAACCCATGTATTTATCTCTGTTCAAATTAAATAAAATATAATTTTAAGAAATTGTATTCTAAATTTAAAGACATATATATATATATAGCAATTATATAGTGAGTGTTAAAGTTCAAAACAGTACTGAATTAGAA